GAGCAAGGACTTCCTCTTTGTACTTAAAGTCCAGATCTTTGCTAGTGGGGAATTCTGGGAGTTGAAGTCCAGCTGTCTTAAAGTTACAAAGATTGAGAGAGATGGGCTCAATTGTTGTATGTTTGCTGAGTTTTCAGTTTGTGGGGATGCTTCCCCAAAATGAGATAGTCTTGGAGCACCGAAAGGAACAGGAATCCCTCAGTCTCTCCTGCCTGCATATCCTCCCCTCCCTTCCTAGCTGACAACAAGGGGTTAAGGGGCCAGAAGGCTGATGTTGCTGACACGCTGCCTGGAGCCCCGCCTCCTCCAGCCCAGCTCAGCTCCGTTTCTCCCTCAGATGGCAGCGTGGTTACCTGGAGCCCTGGCCTCTCCAGCCCAGATGCAGGTGGGACGGGCCAAGTGCAGCTTACCATATGCCTAGCAGGCTGCGATGGCAACTTCACCTTTGGGCTCACAACTTTCCTGGGCTAGAGGAGGGCGGAGGGTGGCGGAGCTCCTGTTGCTGCTACTGCTGCTAAGCGGCAGAGTAGGCTGACTGCTGGGCCAATGAGCGGTCGGTTGAGAGGCCAATGAGTTGCAACAGTTGCTGGGCTCCATAAGCCCATGTGTGCTTGCCTTCTACGGGCTGGCGCCAAGGCGGTGGGGGCCAGACCTTTGTCATTTCCAGGATACCTGTCTGGGCCGCATCCAATCATATGGCGGGCCATTTTTGGCCCACGGGCCTTGTGTTTGACATGTCTCATCTAAATTTTCAGTACATTGTACTTGTTGATCTTTAAAGTCCTCTGTCTTGGTATTAATTTCTTCCACTTCTGTTGTTTTTGGATTGTAAGTTCTTTGGTTGCGTTCAGGGTTTCACTTTGTAGGTTTAAGCTGGGATCTTTGTCTTTCAGTCTAGATTTAATTATCTCAGTAGCTTCAAGAATTTTTTCAAATATAAGTTTATAATTAGCTGAAATTTGTTGCTGGTCCTCCTCCATTTCTGACATAGTTATAGATGGTCTTTTAGTGAAGGCTATTTATTAATCAAGAGCCAGTAAGTGTTCACTTCCACAGTTCCTAAAAACCAATTTCACCACCCAGCTGTTCTCTCAGCTTTTTATCTTTTTTAGATAATACCAAGGACAGATCTGGGCTATAAGCAGGTCTCTTTGTCAAGAATATTCACTTGCTGTACCAAACTTTGCCACAAGATGTCCCTGATAGCATTTAAAGCAGTGGTTCTCAACCTTCCTAATGCTGTGACCCTTTAATACAGTTCCTCATGTTGTGGTGACCCCCAACCCCCCATCCAGCTGGCCGAGGGGTATCAAAAACTTGACCAAAAAAAGAGGAAAAAATGGGAAAGTATAGGGACTTGGGTTGGGTGCCTGCCTTCTTTCCCTCCCTTCTCTCCCCTTGTCCCTTCCTTCCTTCTTTTCTTCCTTTCCTTCACCTCCCTCTTAGTCTCTTCCTCCTTCCCTACCTCTCCCATTGTCCCTTCCTTCCTTTTCTTCCTTTCCTTCACCTACCTTAGTCTCTTCCTCCTTCCCTTCCTCTCTCCCATTTTCCCTTCCTTCCTTCTTTCTTTCTTTTCCTTCCTTAGTCTCTTCCTCCTTCCCTCCCTCTCTCCCATTGTCCCTTCCTTCCTTCTTTCCTTCCTTTCCTTCCCCTCCCTTAATCTCTTCCTCCTTCCCTCCCTCTTTCCCATTGTCCCTTCCTTCTTTCCTTCCTTTCCTTCACCTCCTTCTTAGTCTCTTCCTCCTTCCCTCCCTCTCCCATTTTCCCTTCCTTCCTTCTTTCCTTCCTTTCCTTCCTTAGTCTCTTCCTCCTTCCCTCTCTCCCATTGTCCCTTCCTTCCTTCCTTCTTTCCTTCCTTTCCTTCCCCTCCTTTAGTCTCTTCCTCCTTCCCTTCCTCTTTCCCATTGTCCCTTCCTTCTTTCCTTCCTTTCCTTCCCCTCCCTTAGTCCCTTCCTTCCTTCCTTTCTTCCTTCCCTCTTTGTCCCTTCCTTCCTTCCCTCCCTTCCATTGTTCTTTCCTTCCTTCCCTCTCTCATTGTCCCTTCCTTCCTCCCCCCCTCCGTGCCCAGGAAGGGACAAGGGGAGGGGGACAGGCTACCAGAGGCAGAGGAGAGCTCCGCCCAGCTCACTTGCTCAGCTTCGCCAGAAAACATGCCGCTTGCTAAGTTAGCAGAAGCCCCAGGATCAGCGCCAGGCTACAGCTGATTTGCGCTTCTGCTAAATTAGCAAGCGGCATGTTTTCTAGCAAAGCTTGAGCATGTTTGCTGGGCAGGAGCCAAGAAGAGCTGCTACAGCTGACCTGCTTCTTGGCTGCTCTGCAAAAGCGTGGATCAGCTGTAGAGGTTTGCCCCGATCTGGACAAGAGAGAAGGAAGGAAGGACAGAAGGGACAAGGGGAAAGAGGGAGGGAAGGAGGGACAAAGAGGGAGGCGAAGGAAAGGAAGGAAGGAAGGAAGGGACAAGGGGAGGGACAAAGAGGGAGGCGAAGGAAAGGAAGGAAGGAAGGAAGGAAGGAAGGAAGGAAGGAAGGAAGGAAGGGACAATGGGAGAGGGAGGGAAGGAGGAAGAGACCAAGAGGGAGGGAAGGAAAGGAAGTTCCAGCCAGCAGAGGCTTGGCAGCCCGGCTGCCGAAGAACAGAAGAGCGCAAAGCCAAGGAGAAGAAGGTGGCGGTTTCCTCCCAAAGGGGGATCCTTTTTTCCACCCCTTCCCTGGGTTTGTGGGGAATTTCTCATCACCAACGCTGACAGGTGCTCCTTCGAGCCCGCTGAGAGCTTTCTTGCCTCCTTTGCTTCTCTCCCCCCCCCCCCCGCTTTCGTGAGGATTGTGGCGCCCTTGGGAAGCCAATTGTGCTTTGAAGCTTAGGAGAGAAGGAGGAGTCCTTTCCTCCTTCCTTCCCTCTCTCCCTGTCGCCCCGGCGGGCTCGACATGAATGGGCAGAGGAGTCGAGGACGGGCGGGGTGCCAAAGGAGACTGGTGGCTGTCGCCAGACCTCCTGGCTGATAAGCGCAAGTTTGGGGGTCACCAGCTGACAGGCCCAGGAGTTGGGTGATGCGGTGGCCTCCCCTTCACTGACCTGCATGCACGAGAAGAAGTCAATCCGGTTGCTGCACAATGAGTCTCTGGGGAGGGTGGGGCCTTGTTCTGAGCCTGCGCTCTTCATGCGCCCCCTGCAGGGCACATTTGGTAGAGTTCGTGCAGACTGCCGCCAAGCAGCATATTTTCCACAAACAAGTGAGGTGGAGTGGAGGGGGAGAGGGAGAGAAGGCGGTTGACAAGCCCTGCCTAAGACCATCGGAAATATGTGTTTTCCAATGGTCTTAGGCGACCCGTGAAAGGCTCGTGCGACCCCCAAAAGGGTCGCGACTCACAGGTTGAGAACCGCTGATTTAAAGTCTTTTTCAGAACCCGGGCTAGGTTTTTATCCAGTTTAAGTTCTTTTTCATATTTTTTACGAGTAGATAAGGTAGCAGGTCCCCGTGAAAGTAGGAACTTTTTGGGTCCCCAAATATCAAGAAGATACAAATCCAATTATTTAGTTGTTCTTTTCAAGGCTTTATTTTCCCTAGGTAGTCAGCCGCCGCCATTTTGGAGGGTGGGAGGAAGACGTTCCCTTCCCTCTCTCCTCACAGGGGGAAGAAATTTCAAGAAGCTTTTAAAAAGAAAGTACTTGGGGTACGAAGAAAGGTAAGATCTCAGCCAATTCCTCCGTGGTGCTTTCGAAGTGCTTGTTGGTAATTTTGGCCGCGGCTGGTAGCAGCTTAATGATTGGCCATGTTAATGGCTGATTTTTCCCCGTCAGTTCAAAGAGCTGCCCCGGACCAAACGGGAGGGCTGCCGCCCTTCCGCAATCACTTGGGGGTCCTCTTCATGCTTGTCGCCCCTCCAGGTGACTTTCTACCCTTTTCAGGGTCCCCCGGCGGGAGAAAACTGGACGGCGGAGACAGCAAACGTCCTACATAGCCGCCAGCGCCGCGATTACAAACCAGAAGCCCATCACTGGAGATTTTTAAGAAGAGACTAGACATTCACCTGTCTGAGACGGTATAGGTTCTCCTGCTTGAGCAAGGGGGTGGACTAGAAGACCTCCAAGGTCCCTTCCAGCTCTATTCTATTCTATTCATCAAATTTGGGAGATGACACTCAGAAGATAGCTCAAGATCCAGAAGGATCTTGTACACTGGGCCCTATCCAACAAAATGAAATTGAATGGTGGGAAAAATAAGACTGTACACTTAGACAAAAGAAAAACAAAAACAAATGCACAGGTATAGACTAGGTAATTCCTGGCTCAATAGCAGTAACTGTGAGAGGGGATCTAAGAGCCTTAGAGGACAACTACTTAAACATGAGCCAGCAGTGTGCTGCAACCACCAAAAAAGCCAACACAGTCCTAGGCTGCATTAACAGAGGGAGAGAATTATGTGAAGTGTTATACCACTTTATAATGCCTTGGCAAATCCACACTTGGAATATTGCATCCAGTTTGGTTGCCATGATATAAAAATGATGTTGAGACTCTAGAAAGAGTTCAGAGAAAAACAACAAAGATGATTAGGAGACTGGAGGCTAAAATATGAAGAACAGTTGCAGGAAATGGGTATATCTAGTCTAAGAAAAAAGGACTATGGATCACATGTTAATAGTTTTCCAATATCTAAGGGGCTGCCACAAAGAAAAGGGGATCAAGCTATTTTCCAGAGCACCTGAGGACAGGACAAGAAGCAACAGATCGAAACTAATCAAGGAGAGATCCAACCTAGAAATAAGGAGAAATTTCCTTACAATTAGAACAATCAATCGGTGGAATGGCTTGCCTTCAGAAGTTGTGGGTGCTCCATCAGTGGAGGTTTTTAAGAAGAGATTGAATAGCCATTTGTCTGAAATAGTATAGATTCTCCTGCTTGAGCAGGAGTTGGACTAGAAGACCTCCAAGGTCACTTCCAACTCTGTTATTCAGTTTTTTGTAAATGAGAACCAGAGTTTAATATAGAGTTGACCTACTGTAATAAGGCTTTGGTTTTCCTTGTAGGATCATCAGGACGAAAATTCTTATATTCCTCCACCTCCTTTTCAAGTGACAGCAGCTGACTCTGCAGTTTGCTACGCAAGGATGGCAGGGTGTCCCGGATATGATTTGTCAATTGCTGAAGAGAATATATGAAGCACCAATAAGTTTATATTAATATTATTACATAATGTTTCTTACTACTAAAATAAGCCATCCTCCCTTTGAAGCCAGTGAGGCTGAATCATGCACTATTTGCTTAAGTACTTGCCAGTCTATTTTGCTCTCAAAGAAGAGTACTGATCTGATAGACAGCCTACTTGATTGGGAAATGATAATAATTAGAAGGTAATTATAGTACTCAAGAATCTTTACATTCCATTCTCTCCCCAACATACTTTGTTCTCATTATTGTAAATTAAGAAAGAGCAGAATCCTTTTATGTAATGTCATCTATAGAACATCTATGGCTTCAACAAGGTTTTCTCACATTCAGTAGAAATGTATTCATATTTATCCAGTATTAATACTCCTGCAGGTTTGTTTATGCCTGGTATAGAAATCTAAATTAACTATAAACCAAGATACCCTTGTTTCTTTGCAATATCTGAATTAGCTCTAAACTGAAGCATAGCTAATTGAATTATGGATGTTAAGACAGAGAGAAAAACTCACATGTAGGTTTAAAATAAGAGAGACACCTTCTCCAATAATATACACCATTAGAAAGCATAAAAGAAACTTGTAGTAATGTTCAGCTGAAGGTAAAAAATAAGAATGAGCCAAGAAAAATGAAGACTGCTGTAGGAACACCTTACCTGGTTCAAGACCTTCTGCAAATGGGGAGTTCCCATGCGATCAGCCATATGTCTGTAAGCAGGATGGGAAAGGAAGAACTTGCGCTCAGCAGCCAATGCTGCTCTGATATCCTTTTTACCATCAATATCCTTCTGGCTCCGGTTCACAACTCCAATGTAGCCTACAAAGGGACAACTCCATATCTTAAGTTCTGTCTTAATTTATGCAGGGCCAAGAAGAAATTTTGAGAAAGGTAGAATGAGACAGTGCAGCAACTTAACAAAGTCAGGTTAGAGTATACTGGTAACAGAGGGAATATACTTCTATCACTGAAGTCTAGAAATCCATTTTTAAAACTGTGAACATAATGTTATTATTTCTTTGCATAAAACACTCTGGATCAATAGGATCTCACCCTGAACAATCTGCTTGTCAATCATGTCATCATACTACTGATCTTAAATGACCATTTTTAACATAGAAAAAAGGAATTCAAAATTATATAGAAAACTAGAATGGAGTACCTGAATATAAGACCACAAGAATGTACTTATTTTGCGTTTTATTCTAGATGCAGAACAATGATTCTCAATTGGACTAAATGGATAATCATAATCATAGTTTGTGAAATGAGTAATCACCTAGTCCTGTACTAATTATCTATTACCAGATAAAGCTTGTCAATTTAATGGCTATCCAAGGGAATAGTATGAAATCATAACCTTGATGTCCAAGCCAATAGGACAGCAATTCAGCAATTTTTGCTGAAATGCCCAAGACTAATCTGACTTATGTATTTCTTTTACATATCAACTATTCATATGACCTATATTAAAGCACTTTCTGCTGAACTATTTCTTAGCTTCTAAATAACTATTCTAAACAAGTATATATGGCTCCAGCTTTTAATGCTTATTTCCAGAGGAAAAAAGATAGATAATTACAAGTAACCTATGATATCAGATGCTTCCTAAGACCAAAAGGTATCCAGTATAAGAAGATGCTGCTGCCTGTATTAGCTTTTCAAATTTCAGTGGGTTAGAAATCACAAATGATAAAGAGGTAGAATCATTATTTTACCTGGAAGGAAGAAGATTCTTAATTTAAGATTATCTTACCTTAGAAAGGATAAAAGTAATTAATTTTTCTGTTATGTTATTCTATTTCCATCTAATGTCCTTTTGGATATATTGTTAGTTGGTGACTCACTACTACTATGAATTGAAACATATGTATGTTAACTAAGTGCATGAAATGTGCCAGAAGCAAGGACATGACAGAACAACTTTCAAGACCTGTCAATTATACCTTCCTAATGACAATTTCGAGACAAATGATGCTCCAAAGAACAGCTACAACTGTACCACCAAAGATTTAAAAGCATCTCAGAAAGAAGTTCAAGTCTTATCTCTTCTTTCATTCCATGAAAGAGGGTCAGAAAGGGAAAAAAGCAATACTGTAAATTAGTGAGTGTCTGATATATTAATGAGAGATACATGGTATGTGAAGTTATTATTTAAATTACTTAAGATGGTGGATAGCATTCATCTCAGAATAACTAGTAAAATGAATCTAAACAAGCATAGTGGGCTTGATTAAAATTGGATTGAGGGGTGGGGCAGTTGAAAATGGAAATCCCTGAGGAACTCCACCGAGAAGGGATTATGAGCTAGGTTCTCCCCATCCCAAATCAACACTAATTGGAACTAACCCTAGAGGAAGAGAATCAACGCAGAACTATGCCTCCCACTCCTAGTCCACAATCCAGAAATATGTCTTGATCAACAATACTGAAAGATGCCAAGAGATCAAGAAGAGCATGGATGAATGCACCATCCCCATCCCACTCCCACCTGAGCTCATCCACAAATGCAATCAATACTGTTTCAGTCCCATAATTCAGACCTGCAAACCAACTGAAAGTAGTCAAGCTATTCTACTTTTTTCAGTATTCCTTCCTTGTTTTGCCTATGAATTTAACTAACAACCCAAGAAAGGATTCACTGAAAGAAATATCCATCAGCTATCATTCTGAATGGCTTTCTACCTCTCCGCAGAGGTAATAATTTATTCTCCAAGATATCTCTGGCATCAGTGCCTTCATCCATCAGGTCTAGCTTGGTTATTACTCCAATTGTTCTTAGGCCTGAGAAAGAAAAAAGAAATGTAATTGAATTGTAATCAATTTAGCAACTTCTAAAATAATTTTCTCAAGATCATTTTTCTTTGCAAAATAATAATAGCAATAGCAGTTAGACATATAACTGCTTCATAGTGCTTTATAGCCCTCTCTAAGTGGTTTATAGAGTCAGCATATTGCTCCCCCCCCCCAACAATCTGGATCCTCATTTTACCGACCTCAGAAGGATGGAAGGCTGAGTCAACCTTGAGCCAGTCAGAATTGAACTCTTGGAGTGCGCAAAGTCAGACTGTAATACTTCATTCTAACCACTGTACCACCATGGCTCTTAAAATAATCTTTATATAATATAGTATGTATGACAAATTTACCATCAGTCAATTGCAAAAGTAGCTTACATCCTGCGATGATGCCTCTAATACCATCAAACATTAACGTCTGCCTATCTCAAGCCCTATGCCAAGTCCAATATAAATATCTGGCTGACTGCAACGAACTATAGCAAGTAATAAAAAATTAGCTGAAATATATTACAACAACATACTTAGTTGAGCTGGCTTGTTTAGGTTTTGCATTTCTGTCTCATGTCCCATTTATTTTATAGAGCTTCTGGAATGTTTTAATAGCCTGGCCAGCAGCATAGAATTAAAAAGTTACTACTCTAAACAATAGAAATTTACTCAATTTTGTTCTTATTTGCATTTTGAGGTAAAGCAGTGGTTCCCAACCTTTTCTATACCCCGCACTCCTAGAATGCTTCTGATATATTCTCGCACCCCTTGCAAAAGTTTGAAATAACAGCAACAAATTATGCATATACTATAATTTTGAAAACCCAAGTTTTCGCACCCCCTGGAATATCATCTTGCACCTCTGGTTAAAGAGTGCTTTAATTTTATTATTTCTTCCACTTCTTCTCTGCTTCCCTTCCTATCAGTAAAGAGCACCTCTTGGCACACTCCTGTGTCACCACTCCTATGCGAGCTGCATTAGCTGCCAATTAGCTTCAAGTCAATTCAAGATGTTGGCTATTACCTATAAAGCCCTATATGGCATAGGCCCTATATATCTGAGAGAATCTCCAACTGTATCTGCTGGCCTGTACGTTCCAGCAGATTGCATATGTTCCAGGTTCCCTCAATTAAACATTGCCATATTGTTGGGCCTAGGAAGTGTGCATTCTATGTTGTGGCTCTCACCCTCTGAAACAGCATTTTCCCCAAAGATGGCATCCCCTCTCCTAAAGTTTGAAAAACTGGCTTTGGCCCAGATCTGGGATTAATGCTTACTATTTGTTCAGTGGCCCCTATTTTGTTTTTGTTGATTTTGTTGAGCTCTGTATTTGATTTAATATTTGTCCGTTTTTATATTTTCTCTAGTTTTGTTCGCTGTCCAGAGTCCCCTGGAATTGGCCAGCCAATAAATTTAAATAAATAATAATACCAGAAGATTTCTTTTAAGTCACTGAAGTCTTATCAATTGCTATTGCAATTATAGAACAGCAACAGCATTTTGGTACCTGGACAAATCATCATAATTTGCTATTTTGGAATCTCACACTAGTCTGTGATGAAGAATGTATATATGCACTGCATCCAAGTAAATATAAAAACATAATTTACCTTGTGGGTCAACTTCTTTAGCCTGCTTGAGCGCATCAGAGTTGGCCAAATCCATATTGGCTGGAGTCACAGCAAGAATCAAGCTGCTCTCTCTGCTAATGAACTGCAAAATCATATCTTTGATCTGGTATTCTATGTCCTGAGGTTGGTCACCCACTGGCACTTTAGTGATACCCGGAAGATCAATCAGAGTCAGATTCAACACTGAAAAGGAAATCAGCAAAGACTAAGACCTTCACTTGAGAAATGCTCTTTTGTCTTAAAATCAACTGAAACTTAGAGATTTTTCCAAAACCTTTCCACATTGGGGGGGGGAGCGACTATTAAGGCCAAGAATAAGCTCATTTAAATGAAAGAAAGAAGGAAATTAAAAATTAAAAAATAAATTAAAGTCAGCTTTATAACTACCATAACACTCTCACCTTTTAATTATTATATTCATAAGTTATGACATTATTTTCAGAGAATTACAAAACAATTTGCTCTTGAGACAACATCTACATATTATTTCTTTCAGTATTTTCCTGAAGGTAACTATATAGACTTTTGCTGTTAGTAACATTATAAAAAAGCACTTCTAATTTTCCTTACTGCAGTTACAAATCTATTTTCTCTCCTTCCTCATTAAAGTTATATAATAATTTCCCATATTCAATTGTTTTAATCTGCACATCCAAAAACCACCATTCAAAACATTTTCAAAATGCATGAGACGGCCATCTATACAATTCAAAATGAAGCATTTTGTGAAATGCAACATTTCATATTGAAATATTTTGTACATCCCTACTTTCGTGTATGTATATATGTGTGTGTGTGTTGTGTGTATATGTAAATGTATGACAGCATACATATAGCGTACATAAAGATAAATGTATATTCCTATCAGACAGCTAATTAGATAAAAAAGGTTCTGAAAGTCCTCTTTTCCTTAAAAAGATAATGAGATTGAAAGATATTTTCAACATTTGGGATCTGACTTTTGACTTTTTTCTGGTGGAGCTTCATTCTTTCAATATCATCACTTCAAGAAATAGGACAATTTGCCACCAAATCATAATCCAAAAAGCTTTAATATTTTTACAACTCCACCAAACGTGAAAATAAGTTGCATCCAAACTACCACATCTCCAACATTTAGGTTGCAGGTTTGGGTACATACAAGACAACTTTTTAGGATCCAGATGCCATCTATAAAACATTTTATAAAAATTTTCCCTCAAATTTTGAGCCTGCGTAAATTTAACATTTCTAATCCAAATTAACTCCCATAAATCCAATAAAATCGGTTCCTGAATATTCTGAGCCCATTTAATCATACAGTCTTTTACTAACTCTGTTTCCGAAACCAATTTTATTAACTCATTGTAAATTCTTTTAATATGAGCATATTTCTGATCTTTAATCTGAATTACCAAATTTTCATCTGCTAAAGTAATTCCCACTTTCTTATCTAAGGTCCACCTCTCCACTATTTGCAAATAATGAAACCATGATTGTAAAATATTTTCTTGCCTTAACAAATCTGAAGACTTTAGTTGCCAATCAGTACCCAACCAAATAAGTAATTCTTTATACGAAATATTATCAAAATTCACCCCCTTAGAAACCTCCTGAATTGCTTGTCCAGGAATCCCCCAAATAGGTATTTTATAATTTAACTTATAATAATACTTCTTCCAGACTCGAAGTAAAGCATTTCTTAAAATGTGGAACTTAAAAACCAGATCTACTTTCTTATCAAAAATTAAATATGCATGCCAACCATATAATAAATCCCAACCTTAAGAGCAAGAATATTTTTATTTGTTAAATTGAGCCAATCACTTACTAAAGTTCAAGTGGCCGCATCATAATATAATTTCAAATTAGGTGCTTTAAGTCCACCTCTTTCTCAAGTGTCTTGTAAAATCTTAAACTTTACCCTTGATTTCTTCCCACCCCAGATAAATTTATTGATACCCTTCTGCCACTCATCCAAATTAGCATCCTTCTTTAAAATAGGTATCATCTGAAACAAAAAAAGAAACTTTGGTAGAACATTCATTTTTACTACTGAAATTCTCCCCAACAACGATAGTTGTAATTTTTGCCAATCATTTAAATCTTTTTGTACTTTTACCCATAGGTGTTCATAATTATTCTTATACAATTTTCCATTAGATGTTGTGATATATACTCCTAAATACTTAACCTTATTAACTACTTCATAACCTGTTGCTTCAGCTATAATATCTTTTCCCTTCATAGACATATTTTTCAATAATATTTTAGTTTTGTTCTTATTCACCTTAAAACCAGAGACCTGTCCATATTGCGCTAAAATTTCAACCAAGTCTCTGACCGAATCTGTTGGGTGGGATAACGTCACAACCAAATCATCAGCAAAAGCTCTCAGCCTATAATCAATCTTACTTATTTTTATTCCTTTTAATTTAGATGAATCTCAAATTTTAACAAGTAAAATCTCCATTGTTAACACAAATAACAAGGGGGATAAGGGACACCCTGTCTCGTACCTTTTTCTATTTTAAAAACATCTGTTAATCCACCATTAATTATAATTTGTGCCGATTGTTGCTGATATATGGCCTTGAGAGCACACAAAAATTTATCTCCAAAGTTCATTTCCTCTACGACTTTCAATAAAAATTTCCAATCTAATTGATCAAAAGCTTTCTCAGCATCTATAAATATTAAAGCAGCAGGGATTTGGTTGTTCTTATCCAAATACTCTATTAGGTTAACAATTTGTCTTACATTATATTTCATATATTTTCCCATTATAAATCCAGATTGGTCAGTATGAATCAATTGTTTCAAAACCTGCATTAATCTATTTGCCAGTATCTTTGCAAAAATCTTATTTTAAAATCTGTATTTAAAAGAGATAAAGGCCTATAATTTCTAGGTTGGGACAGATCCTTCCTGATATAAAAGCCCTTCTCCAAGATAGCTCTGCTCCCAACAAAATATCATTGAAAAGTTCCTTTAATGGTTCTATCATTTCTTCAGATAGCATCTTATAATAAATTGCTCTTAGTCCATCAGTACCTGGAGTCTTGCCAACCTTCAATTGTTTAATTGCAGAAATAATCTCTTCAGAAGTAATTAAACCATTAATCCCATCACATTGGTCAATCATAAGTCTAGGAAAATGTGCTTCCTGTAAATGTTTTTCTATGTCTAAAATTTGTATAGTTTCACTAGCGTATAACTTTGAATAAAAATCTAAAAAAGTCTTTTTAATCAAATTTTGTTGATACACTTCTTTACTTTATAAATTATTTTATCTATAGTTCTTGATTTCTGTTTCTTACGTAATTGATAAGCCAACCATCTACCAGGTTTATTTGCATTACAAAATGTATTGTGTTTCATATACCTCAAATTAGTTGCCATCTGATCCGCTATTAACATATTAAATTGCTCCTTAAGCAGAGTTATAGAAACCTTTAAGTTATTATCCATTGCGTTTGATATTAAAATCTTTTCCTTACATTTAATCTCATCTTCCAACTCTTTATGTTTCTTAATCTGTTTACATCTATGAGCATTATTCATAGAAATCAAAATCCCTCTCATATATGCTTTACTAGAATCCCATACCATTGGCATCGAGGTATGCCTTATTCATGTTCCAAGCAAAAAATTCCTTTAAATAACCTCTACATCTCTGTATATTCTCGTTCAACCTCCAAGACCTTCTAGTCCCTTCTTCCAGAAAAATTTCCAACCATATAGGACTGTGATCTGAAAATATTCTAGGAAATATCTTGATATTCTTCACCCTAGAAAAGAAATCATTAGTAACTAAAAAAAAGTCAATTCTAGAATAAGATTGGTGCCTATCTGAGAAAAAGGTAAAATCTTTTTCCTGAATATTCCATTCTCTCCAAATGTCTCTAAGTACCAAATCATCCTTTAAATCAAAAAAAGCTTTAGGAAGTCTTGCATGATTAGAAACTTTAGAAGAATCCTTCTTATCTATACTTGAATCTAAAACACCATTCCAATCTCCCATCATAATAACTGACTTGTAATCCAAAGAAATTAATTTCTGGTGAATCATCTTGTAGAAATATTTTTGTTGTTGATTGGGAGCATATAATCCAACAAGAAGAGTTCTCTTATCATTTATTAATAAATCAATAATGACATATCTGCCTTGTGGATCAAAATCAATTAATTTCGGTGAAAGATCCTTTCTCACATAACTACACCTCCTTTTTTCTGCAAAGCAGAAGCTATGAAGTGTACCCCCAGCCGGGGGCTAAACAAGTAGTTTTGATCTTTAGAAATAATATGAGTCTCTTGTAAACAAATAATATAATTTCTGTGTTGTTTCAAATAATGAAAGTCTTTCTTTTCTGTGGTGAATTAAGGCCATTAACATTCCAGGTTAGAAGCTTTGCCATTCTTGGCAGGTTGAAGCCTTTGGAACAAAACCTCTAAATTTGCAGTCGATGACCTCTTTGGCCTTGCTCCTCCCACTGGCTCCGAAGTAGACTGTGGTGAAACTCCATCATCTACCTTTTGTTGTTGTTGTTGTTCTCTTTCTCTACATTTATGAGCAGCACGTGTAATTCTCTGTTCCCTTGGGTCTTCTCTTATTTGCAAACTCTGTTGCATAGATTCAACCAATAATTCTTCTCCGAAAAGTGGCATTACACCTACAGCCAACTGTGCTTCTGCCTTGCTCTCATCCTTTTTTGATCTTGGAGATGGTGGTAGACCTTCTTTTAAAACAGTAACATAGAAATCTCTTGCTTTTGAAATTGTATTAAGACGATATCGTGTGCCAACATAGGTCACCACTATCCCCACAGGTATGTCCCATCTAAATTGAATTTGTCATTTCTTAAGTTCTTCAGCCAAAAAAGCAAAGTCTTTTCTTTTTCTAAGAATTTTTGAAGGTATTTCCTTTAAAATTATCACATCTTGAGCTGCAATCTGAAATCTTTGCTTATAGAAAGCCTGTATAATTTCATTACGAAGTGATCTTCTAGCAAAATAAACAACCACATCTCTTGGTAATTTTCTCTGTTTTGCAACCCATGAATTAACTCTGAAGATCTATTATTCTGTATCTCTCAACATTCCTTCAGGATCACATTCCAAAACAGAAGCCAGTTCTGCTGCAATTTCTTCTTTCAAATTCTCCTGAACATTTTCCTTCAAGCCTCTTATTCTCAAAGCATACTCCATTTCTCTATATTGTGACATTATAATTTCATTCTGTGCAACATCCACATTATCTTCTATTTTTTCAACTCTGTCTTGTAATATTTCAACATTACCAACCACCTCATCCACACGGTCATCAATCCTTTCTATATGACTAGCAAGCCCCTGGAGTGCAAACACAATATCTTCCCTCATCTCATTATTTTTTTGCACCCAGAGCTCTGCTGTTTTTTGTACAGTCTTATCCAAAGCATCTTGTAAATCCTTAAGTGTAATTGCCTGAGGTGGAGGAGAAGGTGGGGAAGGTTTAGGTTTAGGTTGTTATACAGTCTGAATTACTGGAGAAGAGATTGAAGTTTTAGAAAAACGGAAAAAAGGGGGGGAATAAAATAATAATAAAATAGGAATAAAGGAGAAGAAAAAGCAATTTCCCCTTTAAAAAAGAAGAGTTTTCTTTAAGTAAACCAAATCTATTGCGTTGTTGAAATTTTGTTGCCAGCTGAAAATAGTAAATGGAAAGTAGAAAGTGAAAGTTCTCAAACAAAGAAAGTAACAAAGAAGCAGGACTCCTCCGCCATATTTCTTCACTCCGACAGTTTGTTAAAATAATAGCAGGAGAAGATGTTAATTCTCACATGAGTTAAGTTTAAAATAAAACCATCCAATTCTTGTCCTCCTGACCGTTCCGTCTGCTTTTAAATTAACTTACAGTTTCCATTTAAGCAGCAGCAGTGGAGGCAGCGTCTAGCTTCGTTCTCCCGCCGGAGAACAAAGGCGTCCAAGGAAGCGGAGCACACTCAGACTCCGAAGGAGCTCTCACTCTTCATCTCCCAAGAAAAAATCTCTGGGAGATTGGTAAGACTCTACTTCTATCCGGGAGAAAGCTCACCTTCCTCCCTTCGCCCGGGAGGAAGGTTTCAAGCCGCAAAACAGCTGATCAACGCTGTCTTGCTGGCTTTTACACTTTCCTGTGATGGACGGCTATCAGAAAGCCGCCATCGTCACGGCGCAGCCACCGGAAGCCTATTTTAAGGTTGAATTTAATAATAGCAGCAAGATTATTGGGGGTCAATATTGGAAGAAAGACTCTCTGCCTTCTTTAGAAGAATGGGTATTTAAGGTTTCTAATTTAGCAGAAATGGCTAAAATTTCTGCTTATTTAAAGGATCGTTCACAAGAGAGATATGTTATTGTATGGAGAAGATGGATAGAATATGTTCAGAAGAAATATGGTACTACAAAGTTTCATTTATTTTATGAGTAATGGATTTGTTTATAAAATTATGATGTTAAAGTTTGAAGAGAGTTAGTATGATTTTGGTTATTGTATAATTAGTAAACTTAAGTAGATTATGTTTAATATGTTTGTATAACCCTGTACTTGGCTCTGGGAAGTTGGGGGGGGAGGGGAGAGGGGGGTGGGGGGAGGATGGGTTGGAGGTTAAATAGGTCAAATAAGTAGAAATAGTTTTATTGTATATAATATTGATGTTTCAATTTGGAGAGAGGAATTGCTTGGGAATTTCCCCTGGACTGCATCCAGAGTGAGAAAATAGGAGGAAGGGGAGAAGTAAGTAGGAAGGTTGAGGAGAAGGAGGAGAGGGGGAGAGTGAGGAAGAAGAGGGAGAAAGAGGGAAGTGAGTGAAGGTTAGAGGGTGGATGTGGTTTGGGGGGAAATGGGTGAGCAATACCGAAAGTTGTGTATATAAATTTATTTTATTCTTTATTTGAAGTACTTTTTATGAATGTAATGAAAAATTGAAAACAAAAACTTTTTACAAAAAAAAAAGAAATAGGACAATTTTACTACTGTCCTCAACTTACAAACAATTGCTTAATGATTGTTCAAAGTTATAATGGACTTCTATGATGAAAAAAGTTACTTAAGATTTCTCCTTGAAATTACGACTGTTGCACCAGATTCCGTAGTCAATTTGATCACATTTCAGGCACTTGGCAACTGGTTTATATTTACAACTGGTTGCAGCATCCTTCAGTCATGTGATCACATTTTGCAACATTTTTTGCTTTTTAAAACAAAAAGGCAAAAACTACCCAATAGATAAGCTGGGTTTAACTTATGATGTGATTCATTTAACGACTATGTGCTTTGCTTAACAACTGCAATGATTTTCTTGATAATCGTCATAAAAATTGTCATAAATTTGAGTCCGGTCATGTGGAGACCTGACTTATGATTGCAACAAATTTCCATCTTCTTTCCTAGTTATTGAGAAGATATAACATCCAATTTTTAGAAAAACCCACAACACTTACCATGTGGTGAATATACCCTCAGGTTAATAGGAACAGGAGAAATGCCTTTGTTTGTTCCTGTCGCCCTATCAGTCTCAGCTTCAATCTCCTGTCGGACTTCATCAAAATCTGTAAACTTCTTAGATTTGCAGTGCAAAAATTCTGCATATTCTGAAAGAGAAGCGGTATCTTTTGTGAAGCTCAAATACAAATCTAAGGGAAATTTTTGAGAGCTCATGTAAGCATTATAAGGTATTATCACAATTTAACCATACTAAATACTGCATCATGCATACTAATTTTTAAGGTATGACTGAATATGTAAAATACTCTAAATCCAAGAAGAAACTATACATGAATATAACATTTTTCACAAAAGAATTTGGATTATTTTTTAAGCATAAATGAAGGGACCACTTACCTGTTTTAGAAAAGATAAGCTGAAGAATGAGAGGTCGTCGGGTAACAATTCCAGATCCACGGGGCAAGAAATCTCTGCAAAATATATTGACAATATATTACTATGATAGCTTAAAACAGATACTATGAACAAGAAATTTTACTAAGAAATTATTTTTAAATGTATGTCATCAGCCATATGATATACTTGCAGATATACTTTCTCCAAGTTTCCATTCCTCAAATCTTTGTGTACATAGACTGATGGTTCATTAATTACAAAGTTTGCACATTTTCCAAGATTACAGGAAAATGCTGGTCTGTGATCATAATAAAGATAATATTGAGTAGTTCCTCCTTCATGGATTACTGCCTTGTCGTGGCGAAGGGGCTTGCGTAACCCAATGAAGCTATGAGCTATGCTGTGCAGGGCCACCCAAGACGGACAGGTCATAGCAGAGAGTTCTGACAAAATGTGATCCACTGGAGAAGGAAATGGCAACCCACTCCAGTATCTTTGCCATGAAAACCCCATGGACAGTACCAAAAGGCAAAAAGATATGATGCTGGAAGATGAGCCCCTCAGGTCGAAAGGTGTCCAATATGCTACTGGGGAAGAGCAGAGGGCTAGTACTAGTAGCACCAGAAAGAGTGAAGCGACAGGGCCAAAGCCGAAAGGACGCTCAGCTGTGGATGCATCTGGTAGTGAAAGGAAAGTCTGATGCTGTAAAGATCTTTTCTCCATAGGAACCTGGAATGTAAGTTCCATGAATCAAGGCAAACTGGACGTGGTCAAACAAGAGATGACAAGACTGAACATCGACATCTTAGGAATCAGCGAACTAAAATGGACAGGAATGGGTAAATTTAATTCAGAGGATCATCAGGTATACTACTGCGGGCAAGAATTCCTCAGAAGAAATGGAGTAGCCTTCATAGTCAATAAAAGAGTAGGAAAAGCAATACTGGGATACAATCCCCAAAATAACAGAATGATCTCAGTGCAAATCCAAGGCAAACCATTCAATATCACAGTAATCCAAGTCTAAGCCCCAACCACTGGTGTTGAAGAGGATGAAATTGACTGATTCTATGAAGCAGCACTTATAGAATTAACAGCAAAAAATGATGTCCTTATCATCATGGGGGATTGGAATGTTAAAGTAGGAAACCAAAAGATAAACGGAATAACAGGAATGTTTGGCCTTGGAGTACAAAATGAAGCAGGGCGCAGGCTGACAGAATTTTGTCAAGAGAATACAATGGTCATAGCAAACACTCTTTTCCAACAACCCAAGAGACACATGGACATCACCAGTCAACACAGAAATCAAATTGACTATGTGCTCTGCAGCCAAAGATGGAGAACCTCTATACAGTCAGTAAAAACAAGACAGGGAGCTGACTGTAGCTCAGATCATGAGCTTCTCGTTGCAAAATTTAGGAATAAATTGAAGAAAGTAGGGAAAAACACTAGGCCACTCAGGTATGAACTAAATCATATCCCTGATGAATATACAGTACAGGTGACAAAATAGATTTAAGGAATTAGTGCCTGAAGAACTATGGACGGAGGTTCACAACATTGTATAAGAGGTAGCAACTAAAACCATCCCAAAGAAAAAGAAATGCAAGAAAGCAAAATAGCTGTCTGAAGAAGCTTTGCAAATAGCTGAGGAAAGAAGGGAAGCAAAAGGCAAGGGAGAAAGAGAAAGACACACCCAATTGAATGCAGAATTCCAGAGAATAGCTAGAAGAGATAAAAATGCCCTCTTAAATGAAGAGTGCAAAGAAATAGAAGAGAACAATAGAATAGGGAGAACCAGAGATCTCTTCAAGAAAATTGGAGATATGAAGGGAATGTTTCATGCAAAGATGGGCATGATAAAGGACCAAAATGGCAGGGACCTAACAGAGGCAGAAGAGATTAAGAAGAGGTGGCAAAATTACACAGAAGAACTATACAAGAACGAGCTTAACATCCCAGATAACCACGATGGGGTGGTCACTGACTTCGAGCTAGACATCCTAGAATGTGAAGTTAAATGGGGCTTATGAAAGCTGAGCAACAACAAAGCTAGTGGAGGTGACAGTATTCCAGCTGACCTATTCAAAATCTTAAAAGACAATGCAGTAAAAGTGCTACACTCAATTTGCCAGCAAATTTGGAAAATTCAGCAGTGGCCACACGATTGGAAAAGGTCAGTTTACATTCCAATTCCAAAGAAAGGCAATGCCAAAGAATGTTCAAACTATCGCACCATTGCACTCATTTCACATGCTAGTAAAGTTATGCTTAAAATCCTACAAGCTAGACTCCAGCAGTATGTGGATCGAGAACTACCAGAAGTACAGGCAGGATTTCGAAGAGGCAGAGGAACTAGAGATCAAATTGCCAACATACGCTGGATCATGGAGAAAGCTAGGGAGTTCCAGAAAAACATCCACTTCTGCTTCATTGACTATGCAAAAGCCTTTGATTGTGTGGATCACAACAAATTGTGGCAAGTTCTTAAAGAGATGGGAGTACCAGACCATCTTATTTGTCTCTTGAGAAACCTATATGCGGGTCAAGAAGCAACAGTGAGAACTGGACACAGAACCACTGATTGGTTCAAAATTGGGAAAGGAGTCCAGCAAGGCTGTATTCTGTCACCCTGCCTATTTAACTTATATGCAGAGCACATCATGAGAAAGGCAGAATCAAAAGTTGGAATTAAGATTGCCGGGAGAAATATCAACAACCTAAGATATGCAGATGATACCACTCTAATGGCAGAAAGTGAAGAGGAACTAAAGAGCCTCTTGATGAGGGTGAAGAAGGAGAGTGCAAAAGTTGGCTTGAAACTCAACATTAAAAAAACCAAAATCATGGCATCTGGCCCTCTCAGTTCCTGACAAATAGATGGGGAAGAAATGGAGGTAGTGACAGATTTTATCTTCCTGGGTTCCAAGATCACCACAGATAGGGACTGCAGCCAAGAAATTAAAAGACGCTTGCTCCTGGGGAGGAAAGCTATGGCAAATCTAGACAGCATACTAAAAAGCAGAGACATCACCCTGCCAACAAAAGTACGTATAGTCAAGACCATGTATGGCTGTGAAAGTTGGACCATAAGGAAGGCTGAGCGCAAAAGAATTGAGGCCTTTGAACAATGGTGCTGGAGAAGATTCCTGCGAGTCTCCTGGACTGCAAGGCGATCAAACCGGTCAGTCCTGGAGGAGATCAACCCTGATTGCTCTTTAGAAGGCCAGATCCTGAAGTTGAAACTCAAGTACGTTCACCACCTAATGAGAAGGAAGGAGAAGAGCCTAATGCTGGGAAAGATTGAGGGCAATAGAAGAATGGGACGATAGAGAATGAGGTGGCTGGATGGAGTCACTGAAGCAGTAGGTATGAGCTTAAATGGACTCCAAAAGATATAAGAGGACAGGAAGGCCTGGAGGAACATTGTCCATGGGGTCACGATGGGTCGGACACGACTTCGCAACTAACAACAACAAATTGAGTAGTTCAAAGAAATAAAGTAGGGAAACAAGGGAAACTGCTTTTATTTATTAACAGTTTTTTCCTTTTGTAAAGTACTTTTTTTAATTCAGGAAGTTGTACAATGTTACTGTTTCCCTAACTATACGAACAGAATAGAAGCTTAGATGATTAAGTTGTAAAGGCTTATAAAATTAGGCTTGTAAAATCAAGTTGTAAGGCAAATCTTTAGACTATTTCACATTATGAGTGAGTGACTTAAATTTAATAAGTTAATTGGAATTAGGATGATTTTTAAGTGTCTCATATATGTTATTGAAAGTTTTAATGTGAAGTGGGTTTGAAAATGTGTTTTAATATTTATAGTGCTTAAGTAATTCCTACAGCTGGTAAAATTATTAAAGTGTATTCGAAAATATCAATGTAAAGAGCAAGTTTAAAAAAGATGCATTAGAATTTATTGATTTTCCAAAGATTTTTAAAGTTTAGAAGTTTAAAATGGATGTTTAAAAATGTTTTTTTTTCCTTTAAGGTTAAAGAATCTGAAAGAGAACAGTGAATTTTGATAATATAAATGATGATATCTATAAAGATTAATAAAGAGAAAATAAAAATATATATTATTTTCTACAGCAAAGAAAAAAGTAAAGATGATTACATTGATTCCTTTATTCAAATAAAGGAATATATCAATTTTGATTTTTACCACTTTTGGATTTTGTGCTTGTGATGGAAAAATGAAACTTTGATTTTGGTTTTGTTGATTAGATAGGTTTGTTGTTATAGAAATGGCTAATATATATTGTTATATAACAGGAAAGAGGTTGAGGTTGTTAATGTTATTATCTTCTAGTGCAGGGCTTTTCAACCGATGGTACTTTAGCACCTGGCAGGTGGTACCCAACCCGTAGCCAAGTGTAGCGGGGAAGGGAACGAGCTAAAGCGATGCCACACAGATCTGGAGGAGATCAACTGGACTTGTAGGGCTTTGGGGCTCAGCAGAAGCCCCACTTGTGGCTACATGCAGATTGGAACTTCCGGCATACCTGGGAGAGAAAAGGAGGAGGAGGGTGGAGAGAGGAGAAGGTATAAAAGGAGCAAGTTTTGGCGGAAAAGGGAGAGAAAAAAAACACATGGAGAAAGAGAGAGAAGAGGTTTTTGTGAGCAAAGAGTGTATGTGTGTGTGTGTATGTGAGAGAGAGAGAGAGAGAGAGAGAAAGAGAGAAAGAGAGAGATGACTAGCAAATTAATAAATATAGAGAAATTCATCATACGTTCATTAGTGCAAAGGGAAAGTGATTCAGCAAAGGAACCGCCACCGAAGAAATTAAAACCAGCACCGAATCGAAAATACAGTGAAGATTGTTTGAAGTTTGGATTTTATTTCATGGAAAAAAATGATCGGCAGTTTCCTGTTTGTGTTATCTGCAATGAAGTAGTATCCAAGCATTCCATGAAGCCTTCTTTGCTCCAGAGACATTTTACAACAAAATGTAAAGAGCCCATCGAAAAGCCAATAGATGAAGCGCACTTATTCCTGACGAATGTTTCATCACCCCTAACAGAAAAGTTTGAAAATGTTTTCTGGGTGTACTGTCTTGCCTATTTG